AGCGAAACGTTTTTTCACCAACGAGAGCCTAATACAGAACTAGACAGAAGAAAGAGCGATAAATTCTCTCCAAAATCAGATGTCTTCCAGCTGTTCACGATATTTTCCGAAGGATTGCAAAACGAGCAGAAGAACGCATTCGAGTTTAGTTATATAAGCACTCGGTTTAATCGGGTTTAATTTCTACTAAAAATTCTCCTGAATTATCGAGATCTATTGCGTTTTTCCTATCAACTAAACACATCAACATTCACTTAATGTAATTTAATTAATTCATTATTCACAATTAAAAATATCTTTATAATGGAAAAACATACACTCAAGAAAGGCGTGAACGGCAGTGTCAGTCGTAGTCAATTTGAAATTCAACATAAAATGTCTGTGTCTTGCAGAGTTTATATATCATCAGGAAAAACGGAGGACTAATTTTTCAAATCCATCAGTTGTACAAGTTTTTTCTCTAAACTCTGCATTGCATAATAACAGCTGTTTTTTTACGAGATTTTTAACTTTTCGATAGTCTCCGGAAGGGAAGAAAAGAGAGAAAAACAGTGCATAAATTACACCCAAGCAAAAATTGCTCAGCGGAAAAATCTAGATGTTCTTGCTGGAGCGTTGGGCAATGTGCCAGCAAGAACATCTAGGTAAGAGTAAAAATATTGACTTATCTAGATGTATCGGGTGGAACCCGATGCCACACAATGAAAATCCCAATGCCTTGAGAAGCCAATAAAGCAATGCTTGTGTTGACACATCGCTCTATTTCTGCAATACACTTGGGCGATGCATCGAGTAAAGCATCGATCGATTCGAGAGTCGATGCCTAATGCAAGGTCCATGCATCACTAGATACACTGACTGGTGCACTAATTGCATCTAAATAGACATCTGGCATGTCATACGTCAATGTTCGAGCAAGAACATCTAGATGTTTTCATTCACCGTTGTATTCTCCCTTTTTTTAAACATTATAAGTTGAATTAAAAGCTTCCGGCTTTGTTCATTTTCCATTGAAATCCATCTGAGACATCGATTTACTCTCTCTAACTCCGCAGTAAGTTTAAAATAGTTAATTCTCTGCCACAGAAGATTCAGTGAAAACACGAGTTTAAATATTTTTAGATCTGAGAATTGTGTCATATCTCTTTTTTTCTCAGATTCACTACGCTCCTTCGTCAAAATGTTCATATAGTATACATTTATTAACGTCTTGAATAAATCACAGCAAACGAGGTGGAGTGGAACGTATTTTTCTGTCTGAGTGGCAATTCTGCTTTAGTTAGTGCTAATCTATTTTATCCTACGTGAAAAAAACGTAGATTACAAAACGAAAGGGGTTTTTGCATTTGCAACTAAACAAAACGCATTTCCGTTTTGCATTTACAGTGCAGAAACCGTTTTCGTTTTTAAAAACACTGCTTTAACAATTGAAGGGAGTATTTTGGAGACTCGAGTCTGGAACATGAAACGCAGTAGGTTTAATTTCCTAAAAATTATGTGCGCAAAGCCAGCTTCTAGAAGCTGATCTTCAGGGTACAAAACGGTTTATGGTATTTTTAGCCCTGAAGATCGAATTGTATGAAGTCGTGCTCACCAGATCAAAATGACGAAATTAAATTTGACATCTTTTTGTCTCGAGGCTCAACTCTGGAAAACACTTTCTTCACAGTGAAATAGCGAAAATTAGGCCAACAAAGTGCGTCACATTTAATTTTGATCTGGTAAGCCCGACTTCATACAATTCGATCTTCAGGGTTAAAAACACAAAAAATCGTTTTCTACCCTGAAGATCAGCTTCTAGAAACTGGCTTTTTACATATAAATTTCAGGAAATTAAATTTACTGCATTTCATGTTTCAGTCTGGAGTCCTGGCAACAATGCTTCCTTTAATGTAAAAAACGCTAAATGAAACTGCTAAAAAATTTCTTTTCGATATCAGTATTTTCAATAGTAGTATTCGTCAGCATCAGTATTTCAGTCAAATAAAGCAGATATAAACTGCAAAAAGTTCTAATATAAAGTGATCTTCACACTACTTTCAGAAATCAGTGCGTTGTATAACAGACACTGCTTTTTCGTCTCGTCTGAAATGATAAGAAAAACGTCGATATCTACAACATGTGTATAGAAGAAATAGAAAAGAAGACGTAATATTCGTTATATTTCAGTTATATAGTAGCCTGCTTATTTCTTATTTTTTTTCTGTCGACGACGCCATCTTTTTTTTATATACACACTTTGTAGATATCGACGTTTTTCTTATAATTTCAGACGACGAAAAAGCAGTGTCTGTTATACAAGGCACTGTGTGAAAATCACACTTATTCGAACTTTTTGCGGTTTTTTTAACTTTGTCTAAAGCAGAACCGAAGCAAAAAATTAACTAATTTATGTAGTAAGTACGCGGCAGCTGCAGTGAGTGAGAGAATAGGGACATATAAATCCTTTTTATTTTAATGTTGCACAGTTGGAATTTTTCTTCAGACGCTGGGTATAACAGAAACGAGCCTTCTTTCTCAGAAAGTGTACAATATCTAGGGACTCCTGTGTCTTTTTTCTCAATCGATGTTTACTGTGCAAAGGTCTTGAAATAAAAATGCACAGAAGTGAGAAATGCATCAAAGGTTGATGTATTTTACAACAATTGTGAGTATCCTCGGTGTAAGATCGCTTTGCTGTTAGTGACTCTCAGGATGTAGCAAAGATAGTTCGGTCCTGTTTGACGCACAGAGGATTGAGGCTCAGCCATTCCGCCTCATTCACAGAATATTAGATTGGCTCTAATAACGAACTGATCCTAGCGATAATATCTTCGGATATACATTCTCTGAAAGTCCAAGCACGAATGTTTTCTTCATATACGGCAAGCGTCACCTTATCGGTAATATTCACACGCGAACCATAAAACATCAACCGCTCTCATTATTATTTTGGGATAAAATGCCCGTTATATCGAACCATAATTGGAAAGTACATGGGAGAACAAGTCTGAGATTAAAGCTGTTTTAGCAATAACAATCAAAATTTTTCTGAAAGTTCAAAAAGCTGTTAGCATAGTTTCTATGACAAGGAAAAAGCGTGTTTACAAATAAAATTGCTGTGGACTAATTCTAAGCTCAACCTCGAAGCAAGTTTGAAATGTATGATTCACCTTGATTGCATTGTGTTCCCGGAGAGAAAACCGGGTAAAACATGGTGAAATCAGTATGTCAGTTACGTTCAGAAACACTTTATTTTGAGAGATCTCGTATCAAAAGGTTTTCTTTCTGCATGGGACACTGTATTGAATAAATGTATTTATAAAAATATTGACAATGACTGTATTGTCTGGGTCACTGAGTCAGCCAGGTGCACGCTAAATGCATTGCTCACAGCATTGATCATGGGCGTTGTGTCGTTACATCGAGAAAAATATTTATCTGCATTTAGTTGCATCTAGATGTCTTCATATTTGTCTAGATACAACGTGCGATGTCTCGATGGCTTTCTTTTTGCGCATTTAGATGCATCGACCAGTGAATTGACGAATCTACATTGAACGATAATACCATCTTTTTGTGCACTTGGGCAGTCAAGAGGGGAAAAAAAACAATTCATATTTTCTGTTAACTTTGTTATTTGTGTGAGAATTTCGTTGCGTTACATAACTTTCCTGCGAAAAACCACCTTGAATCAGACAAATGCATTGAGAGTATGATCACTCCATCCCCTCTCCAAAAAATTCAGGCTTCTGCGTATAATTGTCTTTAAAATAATTTAATGTAATACTGTAGACAACGCATTCAACAGAAACAGTGAATAAAAACAATAATTAAAATTTAATTTGCTCTTTATTGACAACTTTCTGATACTTATCATTTTATTGTATTATCTTTCATTGACTGAAGTATTTAAGAATTCAGAAATTGATAACATCTTTGTCCAATTCGAGAAAGATTCACCAAGTCAGGATTTTGCAGACACCTTTTACTTTTTCCGGTGGAAAGGATATAAAAATTGAAAACTTGTAAATGTGACTTTCGCAATTTGTAGAGTTCGAAAACGTCAAAACTTGTCTAAATTTGTATGGAACCGATCTGAACTGATTTATTCAGAAAAGTCATAAACCAACGAATGACATAGATCATTGAGAACTGTAGCGTATGATTCTATAAGGGGTAGCGGCTCACTCTCATCGTCTCGGTCCCCTCCACCGCACAATGATTACAAACAGACTTCTTATTTGTTACTCTCTGAATTAAAGCTTATATATTCTCTCAATTTCTGAATACTCAAAAATTGTTCAAGTCTTGAATTAAAAAAGGCTTATTATTGTTTTATTATTCTTTCTTCGAATTCTGAATTCATTGAATAACTATTTGGAAATTTCAGAAACTGGAAAAAAACTTCGATGATAATTCTTGAATTCTTTCGCTAGTCTTAAAAATCTTATCAATATACAGTTCTATGAATTTTTCTGAATCTATGGCGAACGGGAAAACGATGAATTCAATTTCTGAATTCTTTGAATTAAGAAAAAGCTTGATGTTTATTGCTGAATTCTTGATGCTAATTCTAAATTCCTGAAATGGCTAAAATTTTGAATTTCTGACTTGGAAAAAACCTCGATGCTAATTCTTGATTTTTTCTGCGAATCTTGAAAATTTTATCAATATAGACTTCTATGAATTCGGCTGCTCCTTTATAGCCCTATCATAGTTATTTAACTATCACACACTTTCGAGTATGATACACCGTCATCACAGGATTTTTTTGTCGTAAATGAATTTTTGTTTTTTATTGATAATGCATTTTATTTGTCACTAACGAGGAAATATATCGACGTGTTTAATACACAAGCTACAACACGAAGTACTACGACTGTTTGACGCAAGCATTACTCAAACGGATTGTGCCTATGCTATAGAAGCAGTAAATTATTCGCATTATATTTTTACTATCAGTATTTATAAAATTTTCAGATTTTTGAGAACCAAACATACTTTCAAACATATTTATAATGGACAATGAGTGTGAGTTTCGTAAAATTCTTCTCGACACAAAATTTAAATTGTCAGACGATGATAAACAAAATCTAATGTTTATCATTGGATCGGATGTTGCAAAAAATTTAGAAAATAGTGAATTAACTAAAGTATTTGAAGCATTAATCCAACGAAACAAACTTTCATCAAACGATTTGAATTATTTAATTGTTCGATTAGAAACAATAAAACGACATGACTTAGCAGAAAATTTAAAACGTAATTAGCCAATAGGACGTAATATCAATCATTTCTCAGATTAAACTTTTTTTTGTCTAGAGTACCAACCATCAGTTACCACAGTTGAAAACAATTCTGGACTTCACTTTTATAATAATTCAATAATACCCGATATCTATCGAACATCAGACGATGAACAAGACGGACCAAACGCATCCTGTTTACAACATTATTCCGAAAATGATTCATTTAGTCTACCAAGTTCGTATCATATGTAGTTTCATATCTTATATTTAAAACTTTTCTAAGAGCATCTGAAACTGGGCTTTTCTTTCCTCAAAATCGGTTTTTGTCTTCGTAAATTTGCGTCATTCTTAGATTTAGCCTCGATTTTGAGAGCTAAGAATCTCGGGTTGATCTTAAAATGTAGCTAAATTCTCGTTCTAGAGCTTGCCAGAATTCAAGTTTTGATTTTTTTGTTTTACCTAGAAAGTATTAAACGATTTAACATCAGTTGTTCACAAATCACAAATATACGAGATATAACGCTACGCCTAATGTGTTCTTTTTTGTAAAAATGACGCTTGGCTAATTCAAACTGATAAAAAATACAAAAATTAAGCATTTTGTCTTTGACGTTTCGAGATATTCGTATTGTAAGAAAATTTTATCAAGTAAGAACAGCAAAAAGTAGATCTGTGGTTAACTCTTATTAATTTGAGATACAAATTTAAGCCCAATCGATCAAAGTTTTCTTGGTGAAACGCTGTTTTGGAAATGAGCCATGCGCACAAAAGCTATTTTAAGGTATATGGAACGAATATTCGGAGAAGGGCTTCAACAACCATCACTCAGAAGCCGGTGAAAAAGTGTTACGGACAGCCGAGAGATATCTTACTTTTCTCAGAATTCTTTGCTCTATCAGGCTATATTATTCGGAAAATTTTCCAAGATCTTCCAAGAGTGAAAAATGAAAGTCATTTTTCGGAAAAAATTGCCTCATTTTACTCAGAATTTGCGGCAAATTCTGAATATGTAATTCCTTTTCGAAAATATCGTGAACAAGAAAACGGCCTTGTCGATATTACTTCTTTAACAATATTGTCGAAGTTCCGATTGCCAACATTCTAGTAATCCCATCAAATGATACGTCCTTATCCCATTTTAGATAAGCAGTAACAAAGCTCTCTAACATACTGTTTTAAATGCATCGTTGTAGCATTCGCAATACCACCATCAACTTCATCTCCAAATTTGGACAATACTGCCGAGCTTGCTGACGCCGACAATGTGGAAAATACAAATGTTACTGAATTACCTAGTGCAACGTTATTACTAAAAATACGGGATACTTCCTGTTTACAGTTGATACTTTCTGCTATTAATCAACGAAATACAATTATTGATTTAAAATCCTATCGTGATAGTGGATATATTTGTTGTGTGTTAACAGAATATAATTATTTGAAAAAAGTTGAAGAACAATCAAGCGCATCATCGCCTCGTTTTTTATCATTCTGTATGTTACCAGTCAACATGAGTAGCCTTATCGAATTATCTGAATCTCGTTATCTAGAATTAATAAAAGGTGATGCCACACCGAAGCACGAACTACTGTATTACATCAATAGAAATGGCAAAAAGCCTGGAATAGCAATCAGCTTAAATAAAGCAGATAAACTAATAAATGATTTAAAAAAGAATGAAATACCGTTAAATAAGATAGATTTGATTGTGTTCAATGTTTGCACACGTCGACAGGCAGCGACGAAGATGTTTACTTCTTCAAATGGTGAAGATGAAATTCAATCTTATAAGAAATTAATGACACACATAAACGACTTAAAGTTACCCGTCAATCAAAAACCAAGAGTGATACAGCGACATTACCGCGAACGACATTACCGCGAACGACATTACCGCGAGACAATACCGCGAACGACAATACCGCGAACGACATTACCGCGA